CCGCCTCAGCCTCCCAAAGTGCTGGGATTTACAGGCATGAGCCACTGCACCCAGCCACAAATCTTTCTGTGGGCATTTCATTTATCTTGAGTAAACATCTGAGAGTCAAATTGCTGGGTCAGGACAAATGACCGTTTTGAGGAAACATTGTAGAGGATCAAGGAAAAGAGGCACTGTATGGGAACGGTGTAAGTAGGAAGCCATAACAGTGTGTCCTGCATCTTCATCATTCTTCAGGGACAAAAAAGAGACTAGAGGGAGCGAGTAGTAGGTAGATAAAGACAGAGTCTACAGGCTTATAGAGGAGGAGTTCTTCAGAAAGTTTTAGCCTTCTGGCATGCAAATTCATGTTATAACAATTGATAAGCTAATTTTATTTGTATAACTTCTTTGTATCTTCACAACAGTGCCATGGTGTCAGCAGCACACATATTCCAGTATTGCTTTTATAAATGAGAAAACTAGGCCGGGCACGGTGGCTCACGCCTGTAATCCTAGCACTTTGGGAGGCTGAGGCAGGCAGATCACCTGAGGTCAGGAATTCAAGACCAGCCTGGCCAACATGGTGAAACACCATCTCTACTAAAAATATAAAATTAGCCAGGTGTGGTGGCATGCACCTGTAATCCCAGCTACTTGGGAGCATGAGGCAGGAGAATCACTTGAACCCAGGAGGCAGAGGTTTCAGTGAGCCATGATCCCACTCCAGCCTGGGGAGAAAGAGCGAAACTCCATGTCAAAAATAAAATAAATAGCCGGGCGCGGTGACTCAAGCCTGTAATCCCAGCACTTTGGGGAGGCCGAGGCAGGTGGATCACAAGGTCGAGAGATCGAGACCATCCTGGTCAACAAGGTGAAACCCTGTCTCTACTAAAAATAGAAAAAAATTAGCTGGGCATGGTGGTGTGTGCCTGTAATCCCAGCTACTCAGGAGGCTGAGGCAGGAGAATTGCTTGAACCCAGGAGGCGGAGGTTGCGGTGAGCCGAGATCGCGCCATTGCACTCCAGCCTGGGGAACAAGAGTGAAACTCCGTCTCCAATAAATAAATAAATAAATAAATAAATAAATAAATAAATAAAATAAAAATTTTTTAAAATAAAATAAATGAGAAAGCAAAAGCTCAGAGAAGTCAGAGTGACTTGCCCAAGGTCCCACAGCTGGGTCTGAGCTTCAAACAGGGAATTTCTTGACCTGAGTCCTAGTTCAAACACCCACTAGCTGTAGAGTCTAAGGCAAACTCTTAACCTCTCTGGAGCTCTGTTTTCTTAACTATACAGTGTGTGTAATAATAGTTCCTCCCTCAGATACTGAAAAACATAATCAAGATAACAGTTGAGTTATATGCTTGGCACATAGTAGGAGTACAATAAATATTAGTTGAGTCTGAATCTGAAGTAGATGACTGATCTTGACTGAAGAAAATATTAGTTAACAACTGGGCATGGTGGCTCATGCCTGTAATCCCAGCACTTTGGGAGACTGAGGCGGGCAGATCATGAGGTCAGGAATTTGAGAACAGCCTGGCTAACATGATAAAACTCTGTCTCTACTAAAAATAAAAAAAATATCCAGGCATGGTGGTGCAGCCTGTAGTCCCAGCTACTTGGGAGGCTGAGGTAGAAGAATTGCTTGAACCCAGGAGGCAGAGGTTGCAGTGAGCTGAGATCACGCCATTGCACTCCAGCTCTGAGCAACAGAGCAAGACTCCATCTTGGAAAAGAATAAAAGAGAAAATATTAGTTAACTGGCCGGACGTGGTGGCTCACGCCTGTAGTCCCAACTACTCGGGAGGCTGAGGCAGGAGAATTGACTGAACCCAGGAGGCAGAGGTTGCGGTGAGCCAAGATTGCGCCATTGCACCCCAGCCTGGGTGACAAGAGCGAAACTCTGTCTCAAAAAAAAAAAAAGAAAAGAAAATATTAGTGAACTAGCTAATAATATATCAGGTATGATGGTGGCACGTGTGATAAGATTTAGTGTCACAGTCATGTTCCCTCTCTTTGGTGTGTTCAGATTCCCACTTGGAGGGGAACCCAGCAAAAGAAAGTAGGAAACCGCCACAGTGGACTGCGAGGACTCTGCCCCTTCCTAATTCTCTTTCCCTCTGTCTTCCTCTCCCCTCTAATATCTCACAGTTTGGGCCCAACGAAATGTGCTTCTGCTTACAAAAATACTGGAGGCTTCTGTCTGTAACATAAATAACTTACATAAAGAGCCAGAGAAAGATAGTAACCTAATACCCTTTTTTGCTACAGAGTTCTTTATGAAAATAATTGCAGTTCTCTAAATTCCCCTCTGAGACAGTATACAGTACCAGTACCAGGTATTCTAGGTCACTGTTACCTGAAAAGCATGTTGCATTAGGCATACTCCATCCTCTTAGTCCATTTTGTTTCAGTCTTGGTCATGGGCTTAGCAGCAGCTCCAAGCCTACTAACAGCCCAAATGGTTGCTGATAATTGTTCATCAGGTTGAATTTGACCCTGCCAACCATCTCTCTTCTTTTTTGCTAATGTCAGTTCTCAGCCTGATTATAATATATTTGAGTCATGATATAGTGAGCTCTGGAGAAACAAGAAGTAACCCAGCTCTCGTTCTCATTATATATTACTTGACTATATAGCATTTTAAACATTAAAAACCCCTACTAGGCTGGGCGCGGTGGCTCAAGCCTGTAATCCCAGCACTTTGGGAGGCCGAGGCGGGTGGATCACGAGGTCAAGAGATCGAGACCATCCCGGTCAACATGGTGAAACCCCGTCTCTACTAAAAATACAAAAAATTAGCTGGGCATGGTGGCACGTGCCTATAATCCCCGCTACTCAGGAGGCTGAGGCAGGAGAATTGCCTGAACCCAGGAGGCGGAGGTTGCGGTGAGCCGAGATCGTGCCACTGCACTCCAGCCTGGGTAACGAGCGAAACTCCGCCTCAAAAAAAAAAAAAACCCTACTAATAAGAAAGATCCCTTTCAATAACAGTTTTGTTGTCAGAAATGTCATTAAGACATACCATGCACCAAGTGTGGTGGCACACACCTGTAATCCCAGCACTTTGGGAGGCTGAGGCAGGTGGATCACGAGGTCGGGAGTTCAAGACCAGCCTGGCCAACATGGTGAAATCCCGTCTCTTCAACAAAAACAAAACAAAAAAGACATATTATGCATATTTTCTGTCACTTAGCTTAAAGGGATTTTTTTTTTTTTTTTGAAACGGAGTTTCACTCTTGTTACCCAGGCTGGAGTGCAATGGCGCAATTTCGGCTCCCTGCAACCTCCGCCTCCTGGGTTCAGGCAATTCTCCTGCCTCAGCCTCCCGAGTAGCTGGGATTACAGGCACGTGCCACCATGCCCAGCTAATTTTTGTATTTTTAGTAGAGACGGGGTTTCACCATGTTGACCAGGATGGTCTCGATCTCTTGACCTCGTGATCCACCCGTCTCGGCCTCCCAAAGTGCTGGGATTACAGGCATGAGCCACCGCGCCCAGCCAAGGGATATTTTCTTTCTTTTCTTTTCTTACTTTTTTAATGGAGTCTCACTGTCACTCAGGCTGGAATTCAGTGGCTCAATCTCAGCTCACTGCAACCTCTACCTCCCAGGTTCAAGCAATTCTCCTGCCTCAGCCTCCCAAGCAGCTGGGATTACAGGCACATGACATCATGCCCAGCTAATTTTTGTAGTTTTCGTAGAGACAGGGTTTCATCATGTCAGGCTGGTCTCAAACTCCTGACCTCAGGTAAGCCACCTTCCTCAGTCTCCTAAAGCACTGAGATTATAGGCATGAGCCACCGCACCCAGCCTAAAGGGATGTTTTCTATCTCATTTGCCCCAGTCTCCCATCTCAATCTTTAAAGAGTATGGCCTGAGATTTGTTGGCTCCTTAAATCTCAGCAAGAATGCTTCCCAGTTCTTTCTGATAAATTCTGCCCTATAATTCAGAGCCTACCCATGCCTTAACAACCAAGAGTTTATACCTTTCCTGCCTTGGATGGGTCTAAAGAACAACAGCTCCATAGAGAGAACAACTGCCACTAACTCATTTTGAGTTTAGGGGCATAAAAGTCACGTTTATGAGCCCAGGTTTTCTTAACAGGGCATGCCCTTTCGTAGGGCTGGTGTGAGCATCTATAACGATAATATTTGGGCCAGGTGCAGTGGTTCATACCTGTAATCTCAGCATTTTGGGAGGCCAAGGCGGGCAGATCACTTGAGGTCAGGAGTTTGAGACAAGCCTACCCAACATGGTTAGACCCCTGTCTCTACCAAAAATACAGAAATTAGCTGGGTGTGGCAGCCTGCACTTGTAGTCCCAGCTGTTTGGGAGGCTGAGGCACGAGAGTCGCTTGAATCCAGGAAGCGGAGATTGCAGTGAGCTGAGATCACACCACTCCAGCCTGGGCAAAAGAACGAGTCCATCTTAAAAAAAAAAAAAAAAAAAAAAGATGGTGGGGTGCAGTGGCTCATGCCTGTAATCCCAGCACTTTGGGAGGCCAAGGTAAGCGGCCCACCTGAGGCAGACCAACATGGAGAAATGCCGTCTCTACTAAAAATACAAAATTAGAGGCCGGGCGTGGTGGCTCATGCCTGTAATCCAAGAACTTTGGAGGCCAAGGCGGGCGGATCACCTGAGGTCAGGAGTTCAAGACCAGCCTGACCAACATGGTGAAACCCGTCTTTTTAAAAATAAATAAATAAAAATAAACAAATACAAAATTAGCCTGGCATAGTGGCATATGCCTGTAATCCCAGCTACTAGGAAGGCTGAGGCAGGAGAATCACTTGAGCGCGGGAGATAGAGGTTGCGGTGAGCTGAGATCATGCCATTGCACTCCAGCCTGGGCAACAAGAGCAAAACTGTGTCTTCAAAAAAAAAAGAGGTCACCCTAAGGGAATTAGATTTTTGCTTTAGAATGTACAGCTGAAGAGCAAAGCTGCAGCCTGCAACATTTGCTCACAAGTCTTCCTGAGAGGCATGATGAAGAGCTGTGCTTTCTTCTGCAGACTGACGACAACAATGGAGACTTGGATCCAGGAGTCTTGCTGACAGCTCAGACTATCACATCAGAGACCACAAGCAGCACCACCACAACTCAGATTACCAAGGTAACAGACCAGCTAGAACCTCCTTATGGAATCCAGGGGAAGGCTGAGCTTGCTGCCACCTTTCTGCAAGAAGGACCCTAGTCCATAAGCAAGATTTTCAGCTCCATCCCTAGTAAGCCACATTATTCAAAGAGTTCTGGATAGAAGGGCTCTGCTGCCTTCCCCAGCAATAAATCTAAGGCAATACCTCAAGAGTATCCCCGAGTACTTAGTAGTTTCTTAAAGGCAGGTGTGGTTGTTCTCTTTACACATCTGTCTGTCTCTCTTGTCGGTGAGTCCCCTATCTGGCTGTGGAAGTAAGTTTAAAAAATCAACCTGGCCGGGCACAGTGGCTCACGCCTGTAATCCCAGCACTTTGAGAGGCCAGGGCGGGTGGATCACCTGAGATCAGGAGAACAAGACTAGCCTGACCAATATGGTGAAACCCCGTCTACTAAAAACAGAAAAATTAGCTGGGCACAGTGTCATACACCTGTAGTCCCAGCTACTCGGGAGGCTGAGGCAAAAGAATTGCTTGAACCCAGGAGGCAGAAATTGCAGTGAGCCAAGATTGCGCCACTGCACCCCAGCCTAGGCAACAGAACAAGACTCCATCTCAAAGAAAAAAAAAAAAAAAAAAAAATTCAGCCTAAGGGGCCAGGTGTGGTGTAATTACACCTGTAGTCCCAGTATTTTGCAAGGCCAAGACAGGTGGATCCCTTTAGCCCAGGAGTTTGAGACTAGCCTGGGCAACATAGTGAAACCTCATCTGTACAAAAAGAAATAAAAAAAAAAAAATTAGCTGGGCATAGTGGTGCATGCCTGTAGTCCTAGCTACTTGGGAGGCTGAGATGGGAGGATCACTTGAGCCCGGGGGTTTGAGGCTGCATTGAGCTGTGATCATGCCACTGCACTCCAGCCTGAGTGACAGAGCAAGACCCTGTCTCTAAAAAACAAACAAGAAAATTCAGCTTAAGGGAAATTATTGTTGGTATTTTTATATAGCCATATTTTCCAAGCCCAAAATCAGAACTCTTGATCTGAGGAAGGATTTTTACAGCATTCCAGGGACAAAGCCATGGGAACTTGTTTGGATGCTGAAATATTGGAATTATTAGAATATAGTTTATAGGAAGCAAGAGAGAGAAAATATCTAAAATTGGAACTACTCCCAGAAAATCAGAGGCAATACATGTTTGCTGAGGAAAATATGTTCTTTTATAGGTAAGAAATATAGCTTTAGCAAGCTCTGTCATCAACACACAGATGACTGGAAACCAGTTAATGTGTCTAGACCTTGGTTTTCCTCATCTATCAGAAAGGGAAATCTACCCACCCTCAGGAGATTATGTGAAGACCCTTTGCCTTTGACATCAATAATATGACAATGCTTTAAAATAAAAGAGCCTGATTATAAGATGTGTGACATATTTGTTCATAGCCTTCAGATTTTTTTTCCTCTTGAAAATGATCAAATAGGCTGGGCAAGGTGGCTCATCCCTGTAATCCTGACACTTTGGGAGGCCAAGGCAGGCGGATCACCTGAGTTCAGAAGTTCGAAACCAGCCTGCCCGACACAGCGAAACTTATACTAAAAATATTAAAATTATCTGGTCATGGTGGCACATACCTGTAATCCCAGCTACTTGTGAGGCTGAGGCTGGAGAATCGCTTGAACCTAGAAGGTAGAGGTTACAGTGAGCTGAGATCACACCACTGCACTCCAGCCTGGGTGACAGAGCGAGACTCTGTCTCAAGAAAGAAAGAGAGGGCCGGGCGTGGTGGCTCAAGCCTGTAATCCCAGCACTTTGGGAGGCAGAGGCAGGTAGATCACGAGGTCAAGAGATCGAGACCATCCTGGTCAACATGGTGAAACCCCGTCTCTACTAAAAATACAAAAAATTAGCTGGGCATGGTGGCGCGTGCCTGTAATCCCAGCTACTCAGGAAGCTGAGGCAGGAGAATTGCCTGAACCCAGGAGGCGGAGGTTGCGGTGAGCCGAGATCGCGCCATTGCACTCCAGCCTGGGTAACAAGAGCGAAACTCCGTCTCAAAAAAAAAAGAAAGAGAGAAGGAAGGGAGGGAAAAAGGGAAAGGAAAGAAAAGAAAAGAATCAATTAAAATGTATAGGATCAGTATCTGTACTCTAAAACAGAAATGTGTAAGAGGAGCACAGAAGGTCTATTTTGCTTGCTTGCCAGATTTCTGTGGTATTCAGGAGGAGGAAAAAGGAGAAAGTAAATAGAGAACTGTAACCTTCTGTTTACTTAATAAAGATTTCAGTAATCCAGGCCGGGTGCAGTGGCTCATGTCTGTAATCCCAGCACTTTGGGAGGCCAAGGCAGGTGGATCATGAGGTCAAGAGATCAAGACCATCCTGGCCAACATGGTAAAACCCTGTCTCCACTAAAAGTACAAAAATTAGCTGGGTGTGGTGGTGTGCGACTGTAGTCCCAGCTACTCAGGAGGTTGAAGCAGGAGAATAGCTTGAACCTGGGAGGCGGAGGTTGCCGTGGAGTCACTGCACTCCAGCTAGTGAGAGTAAGACTCCATTAAAAAAAAAAAAAAGCTGTCCTATGCAGTACACAGCAGTAGATTAAAATTTGGGGTCACGTGCAGTGGCTCATGCCTGTAATCCCAGCACTTTGGGAGGCTGAAACAGGTGGATCACGTTCAAGACCAGCCTGGCCAGCATGGTGAAACTCCATCTCTACTAAAGATCCAAAAAATTAGCTAGGGGTGGTGGCACGAGCATGTAATCCCAGCTACTCCGCAGGCTGAGGCAGGATAATTGCTTGAATCTGGGAGACAGAGGTTGCGGTGAGCTGAGATTGTACCATTACATTCCAGCCTGGGTGACAGGGCGGGCATTTGTCTCAGAAGAAAATAAAAATAAATAAAATAAAATAAAATGTGGAGTTGAGTTTACAGAATAATCTGCTGTTTCTTTTTCCTTTTTTGTTCGTTAATAGAGATGAGGTTTCACTATGTTGCCCAGGCTAGTCTCGAACTCCTGGCCACAAGCATGCCTTCTAGCTCAGCCTCCCAAAGTGTTGGAATTACAAGTGTCAACTACTAAACCTGGCCTCTTATTCTTTTTTAAAAAAATTCTTGTTATATTGCTGATCTCATATGACATCCTTTCTTTGGTTCCAGACTGTAAAAGGTGGGATATCAGAGACGCGTATCGAAAAGAGAATTGTGATCACAGGAGATGCTGATATTGACCATGATCAGGTGGGAATGTTGAGGAGATCCGGGCCTGGGAGGGGTCCCTGGGCAGGAAGATCGATGAATACAGGAGTTTGCGGGCCATCTTCATCTCCAAAAAGCCTCTTTGGCCACTCTGGCTTTTAATTGAGAAGAAAGACAGATAATCAAAGTAAGAGGCCTGTGGGATGGAGGCCACAAATTGAGGAACCTGGAAATGTAGTTGAAAGAACATGAGCTTTGGATTCCAAAACTTGCATTCAAATGCTGGTTCTTACTATATTCTAGGTGTTAATTCTCTGGGCCTCCATTCTTCACCTGTAAGATGGAGATGATAGTATCTGCCTCGCAGGGTTGTTGTGAGAATCAGGTGAAATACTGGATGTACAGCTGGTGGCACATGGTGAGCTCAGTTAAAAGGAGCTATTGTTATTCTGGAGGTAAAGGTACCTGAACTCATGCTAGATAACATCAAAATAAAGGGAAGTATGACCCTACCCTTAGAGAGCTGTGATAGCTGAGAAGAGGCAAGCCGAGCATAGTGTGATGGACAGGACACCAGCAGACTCGAAACTTGTTTTCTGTCCTACATCTAACTTGCTGTGTGACCTTGGGCAAATCACTTTACCGCTGATTTTTTCTCCTCTCCTAAAAGAGAGTGGGTTGATCTAGATAATTTCTGGGCCCTTCTGAGTGTTAAAATTCTATATTTTTATGTTAATTAGGTGCTAATTGTGTGCTCCAAGCAATTAGCAAATAATAAGGTCAGGATTAATGTTCCCAATTCTCTGCTGGGTGAGGTTAGAACAGTAAAGCTGCAGAGAAGAGTGGGTGGAAGAGACTGCATGCCAATTCTTCTGGAATCATTGACAGGTTGCTAGAGCAGTAATTCTGTGGCCTTTTTCTGCTGATATGCTGAGTGCCTTTAAAAAAAGAAAAACTGAGCTACAGTGCTGGCAGTTCCCTTGGAACTGAGGTTGAGACTTACAGCTGAGAATAGCCAGCACAGGGTCCCAGAAACAAGGCCGCAAAGTCTAAGTATCTTGCAGCCTGTTGGCCCAGCTCAGTGAGTCACGCTGCATTAGAAGCCTGCACCCACCCACTCAGTCTGATGTGATCTGAGCCCCTGCCATGTGCTCAGTCTGCACTAGACAGCAAAAGCAATGGGGTCAAAGGTGTTTGAGGTTTGGAGTAAGACAGACCTGGGCTGAATCCTGACTCCGCTACCTAACTGGTTATATGCCCTTGACCAACTTAATATTACTAATCTGAGCTCTAGTTTCACCATCTGTAAAATAAGGATGATCACAGGTTTCTTCCAGGGTCATAAGGCCCAAGCACACTTGATAGCTCAGAGAGATGCTCCAGTGTCCCTCAGTTCTCCTAGGTACTGAAGGTGCGTGGAAGGGGTGAGCTATGGTCCACTCTGGCTGGGGAGGGAGGCACTTTTAAGAACTGTTAAGGAGGTCGGGCGTGGTGGCTCACACCTGTAATCCCGGTACTTTGGGAGGCCTAGGTGGGCACATCACTTGAGGTCAGCAGTTCGAGACCAGCCTGGCTAACATGGTGAAACCCCATTTCTACTAAAAAAAAAAAAAAAAATACAAAAAATTAGCCAGGTGTGGTGGTGGGCACCTGTAATCCCTGCTACTTGGTAGGCTGAGGCAGGAGAATCACTTGAACCTGGGAGGTGGCGGTTGCAGTGAGCCGAGATTGCGCCACTGCACTCCAGCTTGGGCAACAAGAGAGAAACTCCATCTCAAAAACAAACAAAAAAAGAACTGTTAAGGAGAAGCAGAGGGGAGCTGCAGGCATTCAGAGAGAGGTGGGCGGAGGCATAGTCACCAAAGGGTAGGCTTGAGCTGGGCCTGAGGTGTGAGCAGATGGGTTCCATGAACAGGATCAGGGAGGATGAGCAGGGCCCGTACATGTGGTAGTTCTAAGAATGCTGTTCATGGAGCAAGGAGAACAGAAGAGTGTTGTCTTTCTTCCCTTGCCCCTTCTAGAGATGGTTCTTTTGTTTGTTTGTTTGTTTGTTTGAGGCAGAGCACTCTGTCACCCAGGCTGGAGTGCAGTGGTGCGATCTCGGCTCACTACAACCTCTACCTCCTGGGTTCTAAGTGATTCTCCTGCCTCAGCCTCCTGAGTAGCTGGGATTATAGGTGCGCGCCACCATGCCTGGCTAACTTTTGTATTTTTGGTAGAGATGGGGTTTCACCATGTTGGTCAGGCTGGCCTCAAACTCCTAACCTCGTGATCCACTTGCCAGCCTCCCAAAGTTTTGGGATTACAGGCGTGAGCGACCATGCCCAGCCTAGAGATAGTTCTGAAGAGCCAGGGTGAGGAGTCAACTGGGCAGTTCTAGCTGGGTCCTTTCCGATAGAAGAGCCTGCAAGTTCAGAGACTTGCAGCCCACAGAGGGTGGTATTGTTGCTTGTTTGACTTTCCCTCTGCTCTCTTTTTTTTTTTTTTTTTTTTTTTGAGATGGAGTTTCGCTCTTGTTACCCAGGCTGGAGTGCAACGGCGCGATCTCGGCTCACCTCAACCTCCGCCTCCTGGGTTCAGGCAATTCTCCTGCCTCAGCCTCCTGAGTAGCTGGGATTACAGGCACGCGCCACCACGCCCAGCTAGTTTTCTGTATTTTTAGTAGAGACGGGGTTTCACCATGTTGACCAGGATGGTCTCGATCTCTCGACCTCGTGATCCACCCGCCTCGGCCTCCCAAAGTGCTGGGATTACAGGCTTGAGCCACCGTGCCCGGCGCTCCCTCTGCTCTCTTTAGCTTTTCTAAAGTAATCAAAGCTCCTCCACATCCTCCAACAGGGGCCCCTCAGAAACTAAACAACAGTGTGGTAAAGAGGAAAGTCTGATCAACTTGAGTTAAAATCCCCATTGCACAGCCGGGTGCAGTGGCTTATGCCTATAATCCCAGAACTTTGGGAGGCTGAGGTGGGTTGATTACCTGAGGTCAGGAGTTCGAAATCAGCCTGGCCAATGTGGCAAAACCCCATGTCTCCACTAAAAATACAAAAATTAGCTGGGCGTGGTGGTGGGCACCTGTAACCCCAGCTACTTGGGAGACTGAGGCATGAGAATCACTTGAACCTGGGATGCAGAGGTTCCAGTGGGCCAAGATTGCGCCACTGCACTCTAGCCTGGGTGACAGAGTGAGACTCCATATTAAAAAAAAAAAAAAAAATCCCTGTTGCACTACCTACTAGCTGTGAAACAATAAGCACTTTACTGAACTTCAGTTTCCTCACCTATAAAGTGGAAATAATGATATTACCTTAATTCACTAAGTTGTAAAGTTTAATAATAAATCACTTAATATAGTTATTAATAATAAATAATAAAGTTTAAGTAATAAGTAATGTGCTTAGGCTATTGCATGGCATATAACAGGCCCTTCTCCTCTTCCACTTTGGCCAAAGACATCTCTTTCTTTTTCTTGTACACTTCTTTACTTTCCTCTCCTGTCTCAAACTTATCAGTTACCCCAGGTTGGACCCAGATTTTTTTTGTCCTCTAGATTCACTTCTTGAGTGAATCCTCTCAGACCCATCTAGGTCTAACAGGTAGATAATAGGTAGGAATAATAGATAATATAACAGACACAGCTATGATGCCCTAAGTCCCTCTCCAGTTCCTGGAAGACAGCACCAACCTTCCCTGTCCCTGGGTTATCAGTCCAGGAGCCTCCCTACGCAGGATAGGGTGGGTAAGGTTAATTATCAGCTTGACTTCGCCTAAATGCTGCCCTGGTACTGCAGACAGAAGGATTGGATTTGTCAGGACATCCAAGAAATGAGGACTTCTGCCTTCTTTCGCCGTCAGGCTATTTTCTCTCTCATGGGTCTTGTTTCTGTCTTTTCTAGGTCCTCGTACAAGCCATCAAGGAGGCAAAGGAGCAGCACCCAGACATGTCAGTGACCAAGGTGGTCGTCCACCAGGAGACCGAGATTGCTGAGGAGTGAGCTCAGGTACTGGGTGTTCCTGCTGGGGCTGAGGGTGCCCACTGTCCCAGCCTGAGAGGGCTCTGGATGGGAGCCTTAGACACACTGGGAGCTCGTCCCCCCAAAGAAATGTCCACCCTGGGACTTGATAAAGGCAGAGGAGAGGCTGATGAGGGAGATATAGGAAATTATTAAGTATTTGGCTCCACCTAAAGCAGTCTGTAGCAGTGCCAGCAGTATTGGGTAAGAGGGGGGACCCAAACTTGAATATAAGCCCCCAGCCACCACCTTAGTCCTCATGCATCCTGCTGCTTATCCTCCACTTCACTTTCCCCTCTCTTCTCTCTACTTCCCTGCTCACTGCTGTCACAGGTCTTTTTTTTTGAAACAGAGTCTTACTCTGTCACCCAGGCTTGAGTGCAGTAGCATGATCTCAGCTCACTGCAACCTCTGCCTCTCCGGTTCAAGCCGTTCTTTTGCCTTTGCCTCTGGAGAAGCTGGGACTACAGGCATGTGTGCCACCATTCCCAGCTAATTTTTGTATTTTTAGTAGAGATAGGTTTTCATCATGTTGGCCAGGTTAGTCTCAAACCCCTGACCTCAGGTGATCCACCCGCCTTGGACTCCCAAAGTGCTGGGATTACAGGCGTGAGCCACTGTGCCTAGCCAGTCACAGGTATCTTTGAACCAGAACCTGGGAGAGCCAGAGGAGAACAAAACCAAGAAGAGCTGAGCACAGTGGCTCACACCTGTAATCCCAGCAATTTGGGAGGCCAAGGTGGGCAGATCACTTAAGGTCAGGAGTTCGTGACCAGTCTGGCCAACATGGTGAAACCCCATCTCTACTAAAAATAAAAAATTATCCAGGTGTGGTGGCATGTGCCTATAGTCCCAGCTACTTGGAAGGCTGAGGCAGGTGAATCACTCGAACCTGGGAGGCGGAACCAGGCTGTCTGGAGATGGGTGGGTGTGCAGAGCAGGAAGGGAATGGCTGAAGTTCTGAGACCAGAGTAGAGAGCTGGGAGCAGGGAAGCTGCTTTTCGGGAGCCAGGGAGCCAGATAAATTCATACCTAAAAGTAATTTACAAATGACTTGAAGAAGCCACCAATCTCAGTAGGTGGGATGGGGCCCTGTAAAGATGCTCAGACCCCAGATGACACTGATGGCCACAGGAACTTGGCAGTGGGACTGGGAAGCTTTTTCCTTTGCAGGATTTTAAATTTTGCTTCTTTGTTTCCTCTAGGAACTAAGCTACCCCAACTCTCTGCCCTTCTCCCATCCAAGAGAAACCAGCAAAGTGATAAAGAAGCTAACCTGCCATAGTCAGACTTCAGACTTTCAAGATGATTCTAAATCACCAGAAAATTAATTTCATTTTCTATTGGGAGTTTATACCAGGAGATTCTTCTGGATCTCACTGATCCTTTTGAAGATCTTTTTCTATATTAGGATATCAGAATTATTCAACTTTTCACTCTACAGACTGTTTTAAGAGTTTCTGGGTTTTTTTTAATTGGGTGGTTTGTAATGCCTGCAACCTAGCCTCTGCTCATTTATTTACAACCCCAACGCTGACAGAGTCCATGGAATTCTGTGGGAAATCCTCCAAGGACTCTGTCAGCTGTGTTGAGGCCAAAGCTGGCTTAGTGGGACTTCCACGTTCCTCCCTAGTCTTACGCCCTTTGGATGATGGCAGAAACTTCATGAACCAGCCCTCTCTCAGAGCCAGTGATGTGACTGTATCAGAAAACCAGGCAGGGCACCAGCCCTGATCCACAGACCTGGGAACAATGCCCCTGTTCCCTTTGCTGAGGGTTGTTTTGGTAAGGCAGAGCCCTCCACTGAGAATGTAGTATTGCTTTTCCTCTGTCTCTCCTGCTCTGCTCTTTTTGGAGCTTCTTTGGGTCAGAGACATAAGAAGATTCAGATATCTGATACTGTGAATGTTTGAACATATGCGTGGCCTTCACCTCTCCAGCTACCCTTTTACCTCATCAGAAGCAGTGGCTCAGCTAAGTGCTCCCCTCAGCTCCCATCTCAGGAGACCAAATCTCACGGAAAAATAAGGCATTTTTGGCCAAAAGCTCTATTGGAACATTTTTAGTGGTGATTTGGGGAAGGAAAATTAATGAGGTTTTTAAAATAAGGTTTTCTAGTTTTCAGACTGTACACTTCACACAGGAGAATGAGGTTACCTCTGTCAGGTCCTGGGCCTTTCATCCCAAGTGATAAGGAATGTGGATCAGAGAAGAGGTTGTGGGGTTTTTTTTTTTTTTTTCCACCTTTCTTCTCCCAGCAGGCACCTGCCTGAGGACACCCTTCTAGAGCAAAGAACTGGCTTTTAGAAGCCGTCTTCCCCACAAGCCACCACATGACAAGGGATACAAACCCCAGACCTGTTCACTCCCACTCACCATCTGAGGTCTGTCAGGGTTTGAAGGCTTGATTTTGTGGTGGGTTTGGGGCTTAGATTTTTTTTTTTTTTTTTTTTTTTTTTGGTTTTGGTTTTTGAAAATAAAGATAATGCCCTGATTCCTGTAAGGATTTGGGGGCATTTTTATTCAACAGAGCTTCTCTAACCTTCCAACTGCTTCCCACAAACACATTGGCCTGGAGGCTCTTTAGAATCCCAGTGCCAGGCTAGAAGTGAACTTCCTAAGATAAACAGTGGGTAATGGGCAGCAGTCACTGGGCTCAAGAAGAATGAGTGAGAAAAATGTCTAAAGCTGCTTCTCCCAACACCATCCAGAGTCTCCACTGCCAGAGTTTTGTTTCGGTTGGTTTGAACTCATTTTGGGTGTGTGCATTTTTCTTGTGGTACCTGTGTGAGGAATGACCAACAGGAGGGAGGGCAAGAGTCCAGGTGGGCCATGGGACAGGCTTGGAGGGAAAGAGCTTGTCCTACCTCAGGAACAAACTTACAGGCTGTGTCTGAAAGGTGGGGCCTTGGGGTGGTGCCTAAGCCTGGCGATGTTGCCAAGAGTGGTAGCAAGTGAGAAATGGCAGCTTACATCAAACATGTAGTGTGTGCCCACTGCCTGATGGATAGGTGTCCTGCAGAAAAAGCTCCCAGGGCTCCCAGACCTATGGAACAAATAGGAGGGTGAAAAGGCAGAGGGCATTGAGTATCCCTTTAAAAACTTAACCCACTGAATATTCCATGTGATCCAGATCAGTGTGGCAGTGTCCCAAATGTTTCCTTCAGCTGTGTCACCAGTTCCCTTCTCCCAGCTTCCTTGTCTGTAAATTGGACCAGAAGAGCTCTGATGCCTTTCAAGCTTCTCAAGCCATAGATTTGGACAAGCCCAGCAAGATGGGTGTCCTTCCAGGCCTCTTCCTCTTTCCTCCATCTCTGGCAACAGATCTTGGGGTTTGGCAATTGTTTGGATATTTTTTCTTTCTGCAATTGTGTGTATGTGTGTTTGTGTGAAGAAAAACAGACTCTGTCCAGGTAGAAATGGTGAAGAGGGGAAAGAGAATTCCATTTCCAGGGTCAGAAACTTGGCAACAGTTTTTCCTAAAGTGACTCAGACACACCACAGTTACAATGCTCACTGCAGTTTTATTTTCACTTGAGAAATAAAGATTTCCTCCAACTACATGAGAATTCTGGCACCCACCCACAAAGCAAGACCTGTATTTATAAGCTGAGGGCTCAGGGAGTCTAACTGCAGGAACTGTCAGGGCACTTCGACCCATCCCCCTCCCCTAGACCCGTCACTGGTCACTGGGCGTTGGGGGAATGTTTGGCAGCTGGGGGTGAGGAGACAACAGACCTCTGGAAGTAGAGCCAGAGCTATGGCCTGACTGAAGCCCCTTGATGTGCATGGGAAATTTCTGCCCAGGATCTCAGCCCCAGGCTGGTTGTTTTTACAAATCTCTCTCAAATGTATTATTTTGGTGACAAAAATGAAGGAGCTTTGTAAATTTTTTTAAAATTATGAATCATATCAAGTAGTTGTTTACATTTCTTGAAAAAAATAGGAACTCTGGCAGCAGAATCAGATTGGCAGAATCCTTAGACTAAACATGCAATAATCAAGTCTGCTGTTTCGGCCTTTTGTAGAAGTGGTTGTAGTGTTTAGATATGTTTGGTCTTGCTTCTTGTATTGCATTTTTTTTTTCAATAAACAACAACAAAAAGAACTGTCTCTTTGAGGATTGATCCACTTTTAAATTTCTCTTCTACCAGCAACTTGGGAAAAATTAAATATGGGTGGGAGAGACCTAAACCCAAGCCATTTTCTAAAGTAAGTTACCCACACTGGCCAAAGTGCAGCTTCAGTGTTGGGTAAAGGCATTTCTGAGAACTGGCCAATGCCTTTTGCCAACTGGAGGGAGATTTTGCAGCATAGGCCACGATAAAGGAGAGACGGGGCTTCTGAGGCTTGTTTGCAGAGGGGCCAGACCTCAATATGAAGGCATTGGCAGTAGTGTAGCTCTAGAGGGATATACCCCACATGGCTGAGGGAAGAAAGAGATTGGAGTGGTGAGAGTTCAAGGCTCAGTCCCCACCCCAGATGGCAGTGGAGAGCCTCACCCCATGGACCATCTTCCCAGAGGCCCCAACTCCATCAGCAGTGCCACCTTGGAAGGAGCTTGCCCCAACCTGTAACATCCCAACCTGCCTCCCCGTCTTAGGAGCCCTTGCCCATCCCTTTTCTTGGGTTTTTGAAGACACCGGGTATGTTTCCCAGTCACCTTGGCCTGGACCTCTAGTGCCCTCAGGTCTAAGGCCACTTAACAGAGGCTGACAAATTCCTGAGGCGAGTCCTCCACACTCCACAGTGAAATGCACCCTCTCCAGCCCACTGAGCCCTAGTGCAGCTGGCATTTCTCTGCCCACATGCAGGTCGGGATGCCATCCCCAGCCTGGTATATAAATGAAACATTTAGACGTTGGGACTCCCGGTCCTCTGGTCCTATTAGCATGGTCCATGCTGCAGCCTCAGAGCAGGCTGTCTCCCCTCTCTTCAGACCCGGGCCCCCAAATCCCCTCCTCCTCCTCCACCTCCTCCTCCCAATTTGGCATAACCCCCAAGACTGAGGCGGTCCAGCCGTGGCCAGCTTCGGTGAGCACAGTCCCGAGCTGCTGGGGCCCCGAGGAGGAGCTCCCCAAGGCCCAGATCCAGAGACTTGGAATGTTCAATGCAGGAGCCAGAGGGCTGTACGGTGATGATCACATGGCCAGTCTGCGTCCGTGGACCCCAGGGTGGGGACAGCCCGGTGCCCTTCAGTGGGTAGCTGTTGAGAAGGGCAGGTAACCCCAAGCGAGGATTAGCAGGCTCTGAACGCAGACTCCGCACTGAAGGGACAGGTGAGGTACCCCGACGCGGGGACGGGTCCCAGATTTCTGGCTCTGCGCAGCCTAAGGCTCGGGGAGTCCTAGGGCTGGGGCTGGGAAGGAGAGCACAGTCCCAGCCGGGGCCGTCGACGGGCTGGAGCGCCTGGGCCCTCAGCACCCCCTGGCGAAGCAGTCTCGTCTCCAAGTCTCGGTTCTCATACAGCAGCGTGTTGGCACAGATGAACACGAACAGACCGACGCCCATGATCACTGGCCCGAGGAGCCGCAGCCGCTCGTGCGGGCCGTGAGCTCGGCCCCCGCCGCGACCCTCGCGTCGCAGCTCGATCAGCGGGGACGAGCTAGCATTGGCGGCCCGGGACCACGGGGCTCCGGCCCGGTGCGGCCAGTAGCCGGCCACTGCGATGCCCATACCCACCAGTACCACGAGCGCCCCCAGCGCCGCGAACGCCCCCGACGGCGAGCGCAGCCGCAGCCGCGCCCGCACCCGCAGAGGCTCGGGCGGGGAGCGCGGGCGCCGGCGGCGGCCCAGGCGGCGGCCCAGGCGAGAGACGCGGCCCTCGGGGCTCCTCCGCACCTCCCCGCAGTCTCCGGGGCTCCCGGCTGTCATTTCGCCGTCGTCTGGGCGCTCTGAGGAGAGAAGATAGGAGGCAAGGACTGGACCGACGGACCTCTAGGTTCGGGGCGCCAGATTCGGGACGCAAATCTGAGAGGGAAGCTTCAGCCGCCCAGCCCAGGCCGCTTGGAGATCCCTGGCGGCCACCCCCGGATTTTCCCGGGCGGCGAGGCGGGGAGCCGCCCCCGCTCGGGTTTTCCGCAGCGGAGCTACGAGCCAGGGACGCGCGGCAGAAGCCGGAGTTGGCCCGGCCCGCGGGCGGAGAGGAGGGAGGGGGGCGCAGGCTGCTCCTCGGTGCATCCCGGGCTGCGAGGCTTCCGCCACCTGCGTCCTGTTCCCAAGCCAGCGGGTCTCCGGCCTCGGGAAACGTGAGGCCCCCGGCAGCCGCGTCTCCAGGGTAAGTACCTCCCGGGCTCGACCCCACCCCCGCACGTGGCTGCACCGTAGCAAAGGGGGCGGGAGCGCTCGGGCCTCTAGGGTCCGCCGGGGTCGCTCGCCGGGTCCCACCTCCCCCCTACTGCGTTTTACATACCGCAGCGTGGAAGAAGGGGGCGTCACCAGCTCCAGCCTCTCCCTGCCCGCCCCCTTCTTCCAGACCTCTTCCGTCAGCACCGAAGCTGCAGCAGGAGCGACTTGAGCTAGACACCCGGAAGACTGCTCGGACCAAGAGCACCCAGGCAGAGGAGGAGACGCGGCGCCCGACTTTGCCCAAGATTTCCATCAACTCCGCGCAAGAGAGGCCTCTCCCTCTCCCAGCGGTAGGGCTGGGGCCACGGCAGGAGGCAGGGGTGCCGGTGCCGGTGCCGGTGCCAGACGCTGGGCCCCGCCGGACAGATGCCCTCCCGGCTTCCCCGTCGGCCCGGGCCCGGGCAAGGCTGTTCCCAGGTTGCGGCGTTTCCAATTCGGGCTCCCTCCGGATGAATCATCCCCCTTTCCCGCCGCCTGGCCTCCTTTCCGGCCTCCTCCGCCCGAGGCCTCCGTGGCCCACGTCCCGGCCAGAGCAGCACCCGCCCCACAGCTTAAGCCCTCCCGATTGCTGGCCGCTCCATGCCTGCGGCCTGTGGCCTGGATCCCGACCCCAGCAGGAGTAGCCGAGCTGCGTGCGGTGTGGCCCCCACGAAAGGAAGGGCGAGGGAGGAGACGCGGCCCCCGCCCAGGCTCCCCGGGCCGCAGGAGAGGAGGCTCAGGGCCTGGCTGTCTAGCGTCGTCCTCACTGCCCGCGTCCGCTTCCTGAAGAGCCAACGCGCTGGAGCCCATAGACGAAGCCTAGGGAAGGCGGCCTTGCTCCCCCACCCACGCCCCATCTGCACCCCGAAGCTCAAAGCAGGACACCCATCCCTGCCTCCGACTGGAGCGCTCAAGGCGCGGGCCTAGCAGGGAGCCGCAGGTCTCCCGCGTCCAAATCCTGGTTTCACAGATTGCTACTGCGCCCAGGGAGGCCGGGGAGCCTGCCCGACCCCGCACTAGGCGGAGGCTCTGCCAGGTCTGACGCCGGTCTCCGGGCCCCAGCTCTGGGCCCCTCTCAGGACAGCCACGGGAGCGTCCGGGAAGAAGCGAGGCCCATCCCCTCCTTGACCCAGAGTTTGCAGCCCTTTCTCCAGCCCGCAACCGGAGGAGGGACCACCGCTTCAAGCCAGCCCCAGCTCCAGCAAGGTCACCCGGACCCCGTGCGTCGCTGCCGCGAGGGAGACAAAAGTAGAGTGGGGACATGGGAACACTCTCGGAGACCCCGAGCCGTGAAGGGAGTGGGCAGACGCTGGGGACCCCAGGGGAGGCGGAAACTTGGGGACACAGCGCATAACCCGATGGAAGCTACTGGGGCCGAGTCTCCTGGACTTCGGGATCCCGCCACCGCCCGCGTCCACACTCCCGCCCGGGGGAACCGGAGGGCCGCGCTCCCGCCCCCTGGGGCTCTGGCTGAGGGAGGGGACAAACGAAAAGTTAGGAAAAGTGGAGCGCGGACCCCTGAACCCCAACTCGGCTCACCTGGCGCCGCAGCGCCGCGCGGGTCCGGGTCTCAGTCCGCGCGACGAGGCTCCGGAGCCGCCCGGGTCTCCACGGGCCGGCCCCGCCCCCGCCCCGCCCCGGCCCCGCCCTCAGCCCCTGGGACCGTCGGACACGCGCGGGCCCTGGCCCCACCGCCAGTGAAAGGCGGCCCCTCAGGTTGGAGGGTCGCAGGTGGGCGTCGTGTGGGCGCCTGGTGACTCCGGGCACCCGGGGCCTCAGTCCTGCGGTCCCCAGTCTCCCACTCGCAGCTTACATCGGTAGCAAAGGCCCGGAAGGGCGCCCCGTTCCTGCATGGGGGAAACTGAGACCGGGACACAGGTGCCCCGACACCCGCACATTGTCCTCCGCCTCCCGGAGCTCCTCATTCCAGGCGCCCGGGGAGCTTCCTGGAGGAGGCGGCCCGAGTCCCTGCTCCACCCCAGCCCCGCAGCCAGTTCTGTCGCTGAACCTTGCGGACTTCATCTGTGCAATGGGTACGGCGGCGTCAGCCTCGCAAGATGCCAAGAGGCAACAGCCCGACGCCAAGGGCCAGCCCCGGGCGACCCCGCGAGCCCCCAGCGAAAGCAGAGGGTCTCGTAGCTGAGCGGACCGGACGGGGTGCGGCGGTCCCGCCGAACCCCCCTAAGAACAGGCGCCCCTGCGCCAGTGGGGAGCGGCCTTGTCCCCAGTAACTGGGAGGGTGCCGAGAGCTGCGACCCGGCCGACGGGCCCGTAGGGGGCGGCCCGGCCTCCCAGCCCACCCGCCCCTGGAGGCAGGAATGCAGAGCCGGGGAGCCGGGGCGGCCGGCGGGAGGCCCAGTTTCCATGATGCGGGGGGCGGGCTCGGGGGAGGCGGGGGTGGCCGATTTCCAGGCTCTGCGGCCAGGCCGGGGCCCCCGGGAGGAATTTCCGGCCTCGGATTGATTAGGGCCCGCCCCTCCCCCCGGCCGCGGAGACCCCCGGCGCGCTGCCGGGGGGAGGGGCGCTAATGAGACCCGGCTGCGCGCGGCGGGCGGGGAGAGGACCCGCGGAAGGGGCGGGCCGGGGACACCCCCCGACGCGGGGCGGAGCTGGGTCCCGGAGCCGCAAGGCCGGGCCAGGCCTTGAACCCGAGTTCCTGTCCTCTGGCTCGGCGGAGGAGACTGGGAGTGCATCAGCGCCGCAGAACCTCTCTCCCAGCTCTCCGAGGCCAAGCCAACTTGGGAGACCCCTCGAGGGGTCAGTGAGGTCATTGGCGGACCG